GCCTCTCACAGCTGCTCATGGCGAGACCGGGAGGGCAGGTTGGGGGCACTCCGACCGAGGGGCACAGGTAGGTTTTCGTGCATCTCACCGTGGGATGTTCTGAGCGTGCGGTGGCTGTAGGAGAATGCCACTTGTTTTGAGACTGACCTGAATTTGTTCGTGACAACTTTCTTTTCCAGTGTGACACAGCTGCTTTGTAGGGGACTTGCTCCTAAAACGGTCACTGCAGCCTCCCCTTGGGCCTTTAAGGGTCCATTACTGCTGTTTCTGGAATACATTGGAATATCCCTGTGTTCGTAACAGCATCAGTGCGGAGCTGGCCCCCAGGGCACCCTCCCCACCGCGACCTGCGTCCTCTCCCCTGGGGACTGGCCTGTCCTCTCAGTGTTGGGGTGAGCCCGTCTCCACGACGGTGCTCACTTCCTGTTCCATTGAGGCTTCATGTCCTGTATTCCAGTTGGAAACCAGACCTGGGAATGAATGAGTTTTTGCAGTTCTGGCTGCGAAGGGTCAGTGGGTTGAAGGAAGGAGGAGATCCCTGCACTTCCCACGCGAGGTCCTGCCCGAATGCGCGGGCGGGGGGCCGTGCGGGGGGCGCAGAGGGGCAGTGGCATCGCCGGGCTCCCGCCCCGTCAGGCTCCGTGCGTTGTGGGCTTGGACGCGGCCGTTCCTCGGCGGGGTCCCTTGTGTTGCTCCTTGGTCCCTTGTCCTTGCCACTGCAGGAGAACCCTGTCCCACCAGGACCTGGGATCCCAGGGACTTGAGTGACACCCTGGACCTTGTCGTGGGTCCAGGGCTGTGCTCGGTGAGGGCTCTAAGGGTCCCGGACTGCAGCTGGAGCATCGTTTAACTTTTTATTCGTATATATATATTTATATTTATGTACATTGTAATATAGTTATATATATATATAAATAAAACAAACAGGATTTCTATTAAAGGCCCGAAGGTCTATGGTTTCCTATAGGTGTAACTCTACACCGTCACTCCATCTATCAAGCCATTCTAAGAAACTTTAGGTTCCCAAACCTACAAAGAGATGTGGAGCCACCTGAGTGGGATGGAATGTGTGCCATGTGACAAGGGGTCCACATGGCTCCACAGGGATGTCCCCTGTGCCCGCATGTGCTCCTGCGCAGCTCAGGGTTTCTTCCCGCACATCCAAATGCAACGCTTAGGAACCTGTGGCCGTGACTGGTTTAGTCCCGTGATTCTAAACAGTTGCCATTTTGTTCCCCCGGAGTTTCCCCAAGCATTAGGCCCCCCGCCTGCAGCCCTCAGGGGTGTCCCTGTGGGGCTCAGAGCGCCGACCCCTCAGAGGGTGGGGACACCTGCCTACAGCAGGAGCTGCTCCGGCGCCCACTGTCCTCAACCCCCCCCCCCCCGCAGACCCTGTCCTCAGTCTGCGGGTGCCGAGCCCTGGAAGGTCCTGTTCAAGGCGCCGATGTCCTTTAGCAGTTTCCCTTGAGGGGTCCTCCCCAGGAGAGAGCCCTCGGGCCACAGGGCCAGCCTGGCTGCTGGGCTGAGACCAGAATCAGGAGACAAGGGATCCGCGAGGCGGGAGGGTAGAAGCGGGAAGCCTCCCTGCGTTCCCGGCTGCGGCCGCTGGGGGCGCTGCCGGGCTGTGGGCGGTGGGAACAGCGGGAAGGGACTGGGTGCTGAACGCGTGCGGAGGATGGATTTCACAGCGTTTCCTAACGATTAAACCTGGGGTGTGGGAAAGGAGTCAAGGGGGACGCCCCACATATGTGCTGTGGCAGCAGGAAGGTGAGGTTCTCAGCAGAGAGGGGGAGACGCTGGCAGAAGCTAGCGGGGCGGTGGGGCTGGTGAAGCATCCAGCTCAGAAGGTCAAGGTGGGATGTCCGTGAGGTGTCAGATTGAACTGATGAGACTGGAGACCTTCAGAAGAAATGTCTGGGCTGGAGACATAGATTTGGAGGTGATGGCAAGAAAATGACATTTAAAGCCTGGGTCGGGGACCTGGCTGATGTGTCAGTTAATTGAGTGCAGGCCGGTGAGCCAAAGGGTTGCAGTGTTTACCAGTCAGGGCACGAGCCTAGGTTGCAGGCCAGGTTCCCAGTAGGGGGCGCTCGAGAAAACACATTGCTCTTTCTCTTTCTCCCTCCCTTCCCTTCTCTAAAAGTAAAATAAACATTTTTTTTAATGACACAATGCTGTAGCCTGCATTTCCCCTGCATAATTTTCCAAAACCCAGGGGCACCCTGTGAGTCCCACAAACGTCTGGCCTGGGCTTCTGTCCCCGTTCTGGTGACCACCGTGTCACGGCGGCCTCAGGCTCCATCTGCCCCGGCACAGACACTGGGCCCTGCGGAGTCGGGTCCAGGAGGTCCCTGCTGCTGGGCTCGTGCGCGCGTTCCCATCGTCTGCCGAGCCTGTTCCGTCCACGGAGCTGCGGCCTCATCGCCTTTCCGGGCTGCTTCCCACCCCCTTCCCGCTTCCTGGGACAGCGTTCCCTCTGGGTGACCGTTTCAGATACAGAGTCTGTGTCTAATGAACAATGTTCTTCCTTAACTGCAAGCCCAGCTTGTCCCACAACACCAAAGCACCTAGTCCCTCAAATGTCCCCATTTTCTTTCTTACTGAGGCCTGGGTGCTCGGACCCTCCAGGGACGGTGTGGCCATTGCGTGGCTATGGCCAGGGAGCAGTTGGGGCGTACTCAACAGACCCAGGAATGTTCACTTTCCCACCCGCAGGTGAATGGGTGAGGTTACTCCTGATGAGCTAGAGTTTGAGTGTCCCTAGTGCTTCCCACCAGTGTCCACGACGCAAGAGTGGGATAGTCACAGACATATCTGCCCTCCAAGTAATAATTTTTAAATGGAGACCCACTGATTTTTTTCTCATGTGCCACAGACACCCAGCCACAGGCTCGTGGATGGTGCGTCCGAGGACTGGACATGCTGTGACAGACAGGGCAGGTCGCTGCAGGCCTGTCCCCACCACATCCGGGTGTTTCCTTAGCCCTTCATCATCTGTGGCTGCAGCTCCACATACGTACCTAGGGGGGTCCACAGAGGCGTCTGGCAGGGGATCCTCAGGGACCTGTTCTTGGAGGCATTTCCCCAGGGTGGGTCCTGTATAATAGATACCTCCTGATAGAAATGCACCAACGCGTTTAGAGAGAAGGAGAAGCCCATTGAATATCCAACAAAGCACTGACTTCATTATCATAACTGATCATTAAAATAGCATTGTCTAGCAGGTGGGAGAGATTAGCAAGTACCCGTGTAAGCTTTTCTTCTCTAATATAGGAACGGGCCTGGGAGACAGGCAGCGTTTCCAATGGGAAGCCATGAGGAGGAAATAACAATATAAAAGTCACCTTATGCACATTCAGTAGTTCCACATGCACCCCTTGGGGATCCACAGAGGCGTCTGCCAGGGGAATCCTCAGGGACCTGTTCTTGGAGCCATTTCCCCACGAGTGGGTCCTTGATCATAGATATACCATCAAAATGTACCAAAGCGCGTATCGATAGTAGGCGAAGACCAATGTGTAGCCAGCAAAGAATTAATTTTATTATCGAAACTGAGCACTAGAATAACATTGTCTGCTAGATGGGAGAGATTAGCAAGGACCCATGTTAAGTCCTTCTTATCGAATAAGGGAGGGGTCAGGGGAGACAGGTCCCGTTTCCATGGGAAGCCATGAGGAGGAAAGAACAATATAAAAGTCACCCTCTGCGCATTCCGTCCGCAGCAGCCTCAGTGTGGGAGCCCGCAGGCCCTGCCGCTGTCCTGGGACGGCCGTCTGCCCTCGCGGTCGGCGGCTCCTCGTCCCTGAAAAGGCCTTCGTCTCCACTGCAGAGGCAGGCGAGTGTCAGGGACGGGGCAGGTGTCCCTGCACAGTCAGGCGCCTTTTTAAATGAGAAATGCGGTGCCGTGAGTTAAGTTCTTCGAGTTTGGAAGCAGGTGGGTTAGTTAGTCGTACCTGGTGAGGTCCCTCCAACGAGGCTGGAGAGAGTCCTTATTTGATGTCCCTTCCAACGGACCTAATCTCCTGGGTGTGAGCCATGATCTTAAATCTGCATCTCCCTGGAGCTCAGGGTGAAATGAATCGCTTACTAATTCATCCGTGTCTTTAAGCTGTTAATGAGCCCGCGACAGTGATGTCAAATGTCCGCTTTCAGCAAAACGGGTTCCCAGGCCCTTCGCCCACATGCCTGGGGCCGCCAGGGCCTGTTCCCGGAGGAGAGAGTCCGTGGTGCCCACAGGGAGCGGCGCTCGGGCTGCGCTGCAGGGACAGCGCTTGTCCAGGGCAGAGCAAAGGCTCCTGAAGCTTTGCCCAGTTGGCTTTCATTGTCCCCTTGGTGCGTCCCGGTGTCCAGAGGACGGGGGTGAGGGGCCTGATGACAATGCTGCAGAGGAGGCCAAAGGTTACAGACGGTTTATGCCTTGTCCCGAGAAACGAGTCCCTCAGTCACCAACTCAGAGGGAGTTCCCCAATGAGAGGTGTTCTTTCTAATAAGAATTGCCGGCTGTTACGCCTGCCACTCTCCCGCCGGGCAATGCCTCAGCCCAGGGAGAAAACATACACATCATCACTCAGGTACATTTGTGTCCCTGACATGGTGGCATTTGGGTGGAATTCAATGCCATACCTCTCACGTGGACTCGCCGGGAGCAGGAAATGTCCTTGGGATCCACGGAGCGGTATGTTGAGTGGAATGGGAAGCCAGGCAAGAGTCGGAGGAACGAGAAACCCGGGTAGTGAAAGGGGAGCCCGTAGGTGTCCCTCCTGCCCGTTCGCAGAGCCTGGCTGCCGCCGCCTCGGCGCACGGGACGCGGCGGACAGTTCCCCGAGCAGGAGGCGGCGGACAGCAGAGTCCCGGGTCCCCAGGCCCGGATCTTCCTGACGCTCCGCCCACTCCCACTCCCATTGGGTGTCCGCGCTCGAGAGCAGCCAATCAGCGTCTCCGCGGGTAGATTTGAAAAACACTGGGTAATTCATTCTCTGCAAACGCTCTGTGTCTGGGTCATGGGACCCGGACCGCTGCTCCTGCTGCTCTCGGGGGCCCTGGCGGTGACCGCGACCTGGGCCGGTGAGTGCGCGGTCGGGAGGAAACGGCCTCTGCAGGGCAAGATTTTGGGGATGGGGCGGAGGCGCAGGACCCGGTGACGGCGGGAGTGCAGCGCAGGCGCAGACCCCAGACACGCGACTCCTGTCCTCGCCCCCGCCCCCTTTTAGGTCTCCCTGCGCCTACCGGTGCACCTGGGGACCCAGGACCTGCGTCCTCCCCACCCCCAGCCCTTCACACCCTGAGATATTTCACCACCTTCGAGTCCCGACCGGGGCGCAGGAAACCCCGGTACATCGTCGTCATCTACGTGGACGACACGGAAATCTTGGGGTTCGACAGTGACTCTCCGAACCCGAGGCTGGAGCCGCGGGTGCCGTGGCTGGAGCGCCCGTGGGTGGGGCCGGAGGGTACAGACTTTTGGGAGGAGCAGGCGCGGGAAATCAAGCACAACGAGCGGACTTGCCGAGCGAACCTGAACAGGCTGCGCGCCCACTACAACCAGAGCGAGGACGGTGAGCCACGCGCGCCCGGGTCTGGTCATGACCCCCATTGCCACCCACTGGCCCTGGTCCTCCTGCGCTTCGGGGCTTCTGACGGCGCGGGGGCAGGAAAGGGCTAGGGAGGCCGTGCTGACCGCGGGAGGGGGGTCAGTGTCGCACACCTTCCAGGAAATGACGGGCTGCGTCGTGGGGTCCGACGGGCGCTTCCTCCGCGGATACACTCGGTTCGCCGACAACGGCACCGCCTACATCGCCCTGAACGAGGACCTTCGCTCCTGGAGCACGGCCGACACGGCGACACAGGTCACCGGGCACCACTTCGTGCAGGTCCCTGATGCGGACGTCAGGAGGGTCTTCCTCAAGGACACGTGCGTGCTGCGGCTCCGCCTGCTCCTGGAGAAGGGGAGGGAGGCGCTGCTCCGAGCAGGTGCCGGGCGCGGGCCCCCCGAGGAGGGGTCTGCGGGCTGGGGCGGCTCCTACAGGGAGAGGAGGGAGGTGGTCAGTGTCAGACTCCGCCTCCTGCTCTGGAGAGGGAAGAGTCCCCAAGTGTCCTTCTTCTGTGACTCCCCGCGGGCCCCTTTCTCTCAGGACAATAAGGGACCCAGCCTCTCCCTGAAATAGCCACAGCGGCTCCCTCACACCCGGCAGCCACCTGGTGCCCAGGGCGCGCTCCCTGGTTCCCGGGCTGAGCCCGTCTCCAGAGGCCTGACTGTGGCTTTTCTGAGTCATCAGCCTCCGACTGAGTCTGTGTCTCCACTTAGAGACCTGGACACTCCTACCCTTGATTCTCAGCCTAATTCTAGAACTTTACACAAAACAGAAGATTACCCCAGGTGCCTCTGTCCAGGCTGGTGCCTGGGTGGTGCACCCCCTTCCCCACCCCCCCTGTCCTGTCCACTCTCAGGATGGTCACATGAGCCCAGTGACCATGCAAAGTTCCTGAATGTTCTCACCCTCCCCTCAGACCCTCCAAAGACACATGTGACCCGCCACCCCGTCTCTGACCACGAGGTCACCCTGAGGTGCTGGGCCCTGGGCTTCTACCCCGCGGACATCACCCTGACCTGGCAGCGTGACGGGGAGGACCTGCCCCAGGACACGGAGACTGTGGAGACCAGGCCTGCGGGGGACGGGACCTTCCAGACGTGGGCGGCCGTGGCCATGCCCCCTGGACAGGAGCAGAGCTACACGTGCCGCGTGGGGCACGCGGGGCTGCCCGAGCCCCTGACCCTGCGATGGGGTGAGCGGGGGGGCGTGGGCACAGAGCCTCTCCTCAGGGCGTCCCTGAGTGGGGTCAGGACTCAGGCCTGAGGGTGGCCTCTCACCTCCCCTCGTAGACCCCCCTCCTCGGACCACCGTCCCCATCGTGAGCATCGCTGCTGCCGCCCTGTGTCTCCTTGTTGCTGCCGTCACTGTGGCTGTGACGTGGAGGAGGAAGCGCTCAGGTGGGCAGGGGTGGGGACGAGGTCCCTGTCCCCCTGGGGGTCAGGCCCAGGTGGCCGTGTGCTCCGCCTCGTGAGTGGGCATCGTACCCACACGGGTGCTGCCCATCGGGGGCCTGTTTGCCAACACTGACCCTTCAGTGAGGCCCATGAGAAGATAAAGGACAAATTCATCACCTGATGATTCTCGCAATGGGGACGGATTCCCAGCTGTCACGGGTCAGGGGGCAAGTTCCTGTTGAGGACAGATGTCCAGAGTGCAATTAGCCCTTTCCCGGCGTATGTCCTTTCCCCATGTTTCCCGATCCCACCCTGGGCGTTCAGTCACAGTTCTGGAAACTTCCCTGTCCTTCAGGAGTATGGGGCTCCTTTAGGGTCACGGGACCCAGCCTCCCGCCCCCCCCACCCCAACTCCTCACAGAACATTTGCTTCCCACAGGCAGAGGCGGGGAGAGCCACGCTCAGGCTGCCTGTAAGTCTGGGTGTTGGGAGGGGACGTCTGGGACCCTGGGGAGCGTGTGGGCTGGAGTCTAGGAGGGGGCTCCCCACCCCGTGACTCCTCTGCTGTGTCCTTCCCCAGGCGGTGACCGTGCCCAGGGCTCTGAGGTCCCTCTCGCAGCTGCTGACGGTGAGACCCTGAGGGCAGGATGTGTGGGCACTGGGCCCGAGGGGCACCGCTGGGTTTTGGGGAGTCTCAGAGTGGGACGTTCTGCGCATGCGGTGGCTGTGGGAGAATGTGACACTTCTGAGACTGAGCTGACTTTCTTCATGACAACTTTCTTTCCCAGCGTGACAGAGCTGCTTTCTCCGGGACGTGGTCCGAAAATAGTCACTGCAGCCTCCCCGTGGGCTTTTAAGGATCCCTGGCGGATGTGTCTGCACCCGGCACCTGAATGTGTCTGCGTCCGCATCAGCGACAGTGAGGAGCTGGTCACCAGGCTCCCTTCCTACAGGGACCTGTGTCCTCTCCCCTGGGGACTGTCCTTAGAAGAGTTGGGGTTTGCCCATTCCCATCACAGCGCTCACTTCCTGCTGTGCTCAGTCACTTTTTAAAGCTTTTATTTGTTCCTTTTTAGAGAGGGGAAGGGAGAAAAAGGGAAGCGAAACGTCAGTGTGCGGTTGCCTCTCATGCCCCCACCCCTGACCGGGGTCCTGGCGACAGCCCAGGCCTGTGCCCTGACCAGGAATCAAACCAGCGACCCTTTGGTTCTCAGGCCACACACTCAATCCACTGAGCCAGGCCTGTTCTGTTGCGTTTTAATGTCCTGCTTCTCAGTTGGAAATCAGAATCTGGGAATGAATTAGTTTTCCAATTCTGACTCTGCAGGGCTAGTGGGTAGAAGAAAGGAGGAGATTCCTACAGTTCCCGCCCGAGAACCTGCCGGAACCTGCGAGCTGAGTGTGTTGCAGGACAGACAGGGCGGTTGTGAGGGGTGTGGCCGAGCTCACACCCGTCAGGGTCCGTGCGTTGTGGGCTTCAGCGTGGTCGTTCCTCAGCTGGGTCACCTCCGTTGTTCCTTTGTCCTTGCTGCTTCAGGAGAACCTTGTCCCACGAGAACGTGGGATTCCAGAGACTTGAGTGTCACCCAGGATTTGCTGTGGCTCCAGGGCTGTGCTCAGTGGGGACTTCATGTGGCCGCGTCAGCCTGGGCTCAGGCCTGGGTCTGGCCCACAGCCCCTCTTTTGGGGGGTTGGTGTTTGTTTTTGTAGACTTTGTACCTATCCTTGGTCATTTTTATTAAATTATTGGGGTGATTTTAATTAAATTATTAGTGTGTTTTTTTATTACTGTTGTCCCACAATTTTCCCTGTTGCTCTCTCCGGCACCCCCAGCCCTCCTAAATTATTACAGTGCGACTATTTATTAAGTTTATAACGCTTGGAGGGTCATCCCAATAAGCCATATAACAGGTTTGATCTTGGGTTCTGGGCCGTACCAAAGTCAACCAATGGAAGGTACGAATCTGTGGACCACAAATCAATGCCTCTCTCTCTTCCCCTGCCACTGTCTCCCTCTGTCTCTCTCCCTAAAATTAATCAATAAGTTGCTCTTTAAAAAAGAAACGGTAACCCCACACAGGACGGTGGTAGGAGGCGGGCCCTGGCAGGTGCCCTGACCGGGGGCGGGGCTTGGGGAGCAGGCTGAGCATCTCACAGGAGCGGCTGCGGAGAGCGCCCTGGTCCTTCTCCCAGGGAGGTCCCCGTCCCCCACCCGGTGCCCTCCCTGACTGTGTCCCTCTGGCCAGGGCCCCATCCCACCCCCATGTCCCTCCGCACAGGATGAGTTCAGCTGGAGGGACCATCTTGTCGTCGCCCCCGCCCCCGGGAGCTGTGATCGGAGCCCACGGGGGCTGTGGAAGGGGGTGCGCGGTCTGCAGGGTTCACGGGGCCAGAGGCCGATGTCCCACGGGGAGCCGCGCAGGTCGCTGCCCGGCAGGAGAGATGGAGTAAGCGACGTGTGCGGTTAGAGTGTCGGACGGGGCGGGTCCGTGCGGGGCGCCAGAGGGGCCCGCCGCGAGGGACGGCTATGGATCCATCCGGGTGGAGGGGGGACACGTATATACACAAACGCCCATCGCTAAAATGAAGAGAAGTATTTCCACTCTCACTCGCTCCTTTTTCTGCTGTGTTTTCTTGAATCTTCACCTGAGGATTGTTTTCCTTCCCTTGACTTTAGAGGCAGAGGGAGGGAGGGAGAAACGCCGAGGGGAGAGACCGGCGCCTCCTGCGCGGGCCCAGCCAGGGCCCGGCCGCGACCTGGGTGCCTCGGGATGGAGCGCCAACCGGCGGGGCTGCTGGCCGGCGCCGCACTCCCACGGGGGCCGCGGCGCGGACCCCACGCGCGCTGGGGGCGGCCCGCGGCGCTCTCTTCCGTGTCCCTGTCACCCAGTCAGAGGCTCTGTCCCTGGTTTATAGCCCCCACTGTGGGTCAAGCACGTTGTTGCCCACGACAGACGTGGTCCTGATTTCAAGGCCCTGACCCTCGGGTGGGGAGTCAGAATATAAAATAGATAAACACACAATAACAATGGGGAGGGTGTACCTGGTCAATGGCGTGTTCTCCAGGTAAAGCTGTTGCCGTGGAGCACGGCAGTGTTTCCTTTCCCAGCAGAAGAGCGGGCCCCGTCCCCAGTGGGCCACGTGGGAAGCCTGCTGACCTCACCGCATGGCCTCCTCTTGGCTCTGGGTCACTGAGAGACCCTGTCCATGGCTCTCAGGACAGTGTTCTTCCCAGAGCCCTGGGCAGGTGGCTCTGAAAACCCCCTTCCTTTGCACATGGGGGCTGGGGCTGCGGCCACCGTCACTCTCTTCTTCCGCACCGTCTGCCACTCCCGCGTGGACGCAGGCAGAGGCCGACACCCGGTCCGCACCCACGCGGCCACGGCCCGTCTCCTGGTCCTTCTCCCCCCGGGGTTCCCCCCACGACGGCAGCCTTGGTTCTGAGGCGCCCCCACCCCGTCCAGTGTAGGGGTGTCTGTTATGTACGGAGAGCGGCCCCCAGCACCACCCTGGGCGCCACCCGCGTCCCGGGCGCCCGCGGTTCTGCACACGCAGCCCCGGGAGAGCGGAGAGGACGGTGCTCGGGGGAGCGGCCCCAAGCCTGTGGGTTCTTTCTGTTGCATTTTTTAAATTTCTTTTTCTTTTTAGAGAGGGAAGGGAAGGAGAGAGGGAAAGAAACATCATTGTCTGGTTGTCTCGCGCGCGCCCCCTACTGGGGACCTGGCCCACAACCCAGGCGTGTGCCCCAGAACTGGACATCTAACCGCGCGACCCTTTGGTTCACAGTCCAGCATTCAGTCCTCTGAGCCACTCCAGTCAGGGCACATGTTCAGTTTCTTACCGAATATCTGCGTACCTGTGACAGTCACGGCCCCACAGAACAGGAAAAATGACATAGCAATAGGAACTGTTTCATATCACTGTCTAAATTTAGTGCAGGCATGCCATCTTGTGGCCGTGTCCTGATGTCACATCCCTTGGTCTGGTCCAGGTACGTCTCCTGGGCAGACACCACCTGAGGCTGCGGCACATCCACGGTGCACCACGTATAACATTTCACTCCTTTTGGGGGCTGGAATCTCTTCCATTCTACATATATACGACATCTTGTGTATTCTTTCATCTGTTGACGGACGCTTGGGTCATTTCCACCTTGTGGCTTTTGTGAATAATGCTGCCGGGACCACGGGTATGCAAGTATCGGTCGCCTGCTCCCCATTCTTTGGGACATAGACCCAAAACTGCTGCGCTGGGGAGGTCCCGCGTTGGGCCCTTTGAGCTACCGCCACGGTCCCCACGGCGGCTGCACCGTTGTCCACGCCCAGCGGCCCTGGCCAAGGGGCCCAGTCTCGTCACGTGTGCTCTGACGCCGCTGATTTTCCTTTTTGTGCATCATGCTCCTCGTAGCCGCGTGACGTGGCATCTCACGGTGGTTTGGATTTGCATTTCCCCAGTGACACACACGGTTGAGCGTCTTCTCACAAGCAAATTGACAGTTTGTATACTTTGGAGAAATGCTACTAGAGTCCTTTGCTGCGTTCTGTATTGGATTGCTTTTTTTTGGTTAATTTTAGCAGTACTTTATAGACGCAGGATATTGACCTCTTATCAGTATAACGCCCACAAACATTTTCTCCCACCCCGCAGTGCGCCCCATGCAGCGGGCGGCGGGCGGCGGCTCTTGAGACGAGTGAGTCCGCCCCGGCAGGGGAGGCTGCGTGCCCTGCTGGTACAAGGGACCGCAGGGGAAATCCGACCCGTTCCCCCGCAGCGCCACTTTTAACATCGGTTTCAATTTGAGCATGTGCTGCGCAAATAATCATCATTTTCTAACAACTTTTTAAATCGATTTTAAGGGGGAGAGACAGGGAGAAAAATATCGGTGCTGTTCCTCTGACTGATGCACTCATTGGTTGATTCTTGTCCATGCCCTGACTGGGGATGGAACCGGCCACCGTGGCACATCGCGATGATGCTCTAAGCGGCTGAGCCACCCGGCCAGGGCAAGCACGATTTTCGTTATGACACTTGGAATGAATGACAGCTCATTAGGGTTAGCTGTGCGATCGCGGGGAGGAACTGGTCCACTGGGGCCGTGCCCAGGGCAGCGCGGAAGTGACGTGTGATACTCACTCCCCTCTGAACGCAGGGGTCGGGCGGCAGGGCTTCCTCCAGGCACGCGCGCGCCACGCTGGCTGTCTCCACAGGGACGGCCTCCCCCGTGCGAGGGCCCGCAAGGCGGACCCAGAACCCGGAGTGGCTCCCCATAAATGACGGTTGTTAAGTAGACCAGGCTGTCCCCAAGGTGTGGGTGGGTAATGATCCTGCCCGTAATTTTCTGTGCTTGAAATTAAGAGCACATTAAAATTTCTATTTTAAGGTCCCAATGTTCAATGGTGCTCTTTGAAATTAGGAATATTTAGCCCTGGCTGGTGTGTCTCAGTGAACTGAGTGCCAGCCTATGAATGGAAGGGTCAACCAGTTCAATTCCCAGTCAGGGCGCGTGCCTGGGTTGTGGGCTGTGCCCTGTTCGG